TGTTTTTTGTGCAGCCCCTCCAAACCTTCCCCCCCCCCCCAGTGTTAAGAAGCCCAATAATGTCACTCCAATTCACTTGGAGCCAGCACCTAAAGAGGAGGGACCTCCTGTGGAACAGATTTAGAGCAGTCCTAATCCCACCCAAAGGGCCTTTCCTAACCACTAACAGACAAAGCCTATGTCAGGCCAATAATGGGCCTTGTGCTACTCTTCAGGCCAATGCAAGACAAAAGGGGTGAACTATAGGATGAACCTGACTGAACCGTCCTGAGCCTCTAGGAACTGCAGGCTTTTGAAACTAGAATGATATAAGTGTGGATTTCTAAAAATGGTGTGATGTGACCTTCTCTTTTGGTGGTATGTATTTTACAGTGAGAGCTTTTCCTGGGGTCATGAAATTTCATGTGTGTTTATGCTGGAAGGTTTGACATTAGAAAATAATTGATAGATGTTTTACTGGTACTATAATAAAAGCCAGAGCTGGTTTGCGTTACTGAATTGTGACAGCAGATAACGTCAAACCAGGACACTGCGAAAAAGGGATTAAGAGGATATGGCAGACATAAGATACTTTTTAACACTACTGAGTGCTTTTGGGCCATCCTGCGCATATGTTTTAACTTTAATCTATTTATTTTGTCAATATTAAGATAACTAGGTTTTTACTTAATGAATTAACTTTTACTCAAGAAAAAATGCGTTAAGAAACAAAAGGCTTAAATTTGTTTACAAATTAAACTATGTACAGACATATATATTTTTAGAACAAAATATTATCATATTTTTTAGTATTTCTATTGGTTTGAGTACTTCAGTGGCAAAAGCACTATCCATTAACTACATATAATGACCTATATTGGACTGCACATTTGAGGGAAAAAAGTTTTAAACTTGTGTAATTATTATTATTTTTTTTATGTTGTGCTATGATGGCCCTCCAGCAACAGCTTTAAGAATCCTCTTTCCCGGAGAATATCAGGTGATGCTGCTTAGGTGAGATTTATGTGTCCACACAGCCACTAAAAAGCCTTATAGGAGTAGAGTGGAGGATTAACACTTGAAATCAGTGCAATCTCAGCTGCATCGTAGATCTGCCCTGTGTTAACGTGAGTTACTGTATGTGAAGATAATGGTGAAAAATGAATTTCTCATGCAATAATGTCCAAATCATTTCATGGAGGAGATTTCAGATTAGATTGTTGTGGGTTTCAGGGTTTCAGTGATCGGTACTGATGTTGCTACAGACGTTTTATTTGTGGTGCCACTAAACATTTTCAAAGTATCTGAAAAATACTAATAGAAATGTTTTTCATCTCAACATATTATTTTGTACTCAAGTTTGCAGAGATTGTGTCTTAATATGTTAACCGGTTTCTTCAACATTTTTGTTTATCTGAGTAATTAAAAATGATTGTTTTTTTTACAGAAAATAAAGCTGTTTTCTTACATTGTTTTCCCTCTGTCCATTTTTTATTTCCATGGTTATGTCTTTGAATTATATGGTTGCAAGCAGACAATTATATAGGTTATTTGTTTCTTAATGTTTTTAGGATGCACGGTACAGTCTTTTTTAAAATTAATTAATTAATTTATTTTGAATTCTTTTGGAATGATATCTAATAATCATAGATTTAATGTTTCCATAAAACGGTTTAAAATCAGTGGTTCAACTTTTTGTGACTTTAAGGCCCCATGTAAGCCACGATATGTCCGGTATTTTAACCAATTATGACAGCAACGGGGAGTACTCCTATATTTAATTAACCAAGATTTATTTTGTGATTCCAGAAGTTTTAAGATATAAGCTGTATGTTCACCAATAAAAACAAGTAGTTATTAGAAGGCAGGGGAGGGGTGAGAAATATAATTTCAGTTTATATATATTATGATAAGTAGACAGCACAGCAGGCAAATTATGTGGAAAATTGAAGCAGCCACAAAGGAAATGGTGTGACTTGAAATCAATGCAAATTTAGTGTGGCTGATCCCTTGCTTACATGATTAGTGTTTGTGCCAATGTTTGGCTATTTCATCATGATGCAGACCGTCAGCTAAAGTAGTTGTTTTTGTAGAGTGAAATGTAGTGTGTGAATCTTTAAAGTCACAAACTCTGCAATATTGTGTATAAATGTTATTTAAAACTCTATTCATTCATTATGATCTATACTATTGAAATCAGTGGGGTAGGTTGTCACACTTTGCTTGTTTGACTTTCATTATAAGGGATTCTTAGAGGAACTGGACTGACTCAGGCTTTCATGTTACATTTTATTTAGTATCAATTGTATCAAAAGAACAAGTTATCCTCCTCAGTCAGTCTCTTACATACATATATCTTCGGTATAGTTTTGTGTGGTGCTAAAATGCATTATAACACATTCTCCACAAACACTTTTCTTATCTCTCCCTAAACTAATTTTCATGTATAAGAACAGCTTGTGTGACATGAAGCATTTCAGTGCAAAACAATTATGGCTTCTCTATGCAAAATTACTTTCTCATGTAGAAGGGGATACAGCAACATTTGTATTCCATGAATTGCATTACATTACATACTCAGAATAAAATTGTTTATGTAACTTCCAATTTCAAAATCAATTAACCAACAATTGTATCATCCACTTCACCTCGTTAACATGATACAACTGAAATCCTACAATAAATAATGGCATAATATCTACAATATTATCTACAGTTAAAGTATTAACTAATCTTTGCCAGCTTGTAGCATAAAGAAAAGATGCATATACATAAAACTAGTAAGATGAGACTTTCAGGTGGCTTTTTTCTCCAGGTAGCAATAGAGGTACAGTCAACTGCCAACATAAACTCAGTACACTTCTACCAAACCATGTTATTTGAACAGCATGATGGATGTGTTGTGTTTACCTCAATGGCAGTGACTCCAGCAGCTATTCCTCCCATAATGTTGATTTCCTCTGGATGATCTGAACAATTTGTTTAAAACAGCCCTGGGAAGAGAAACCAATATAAGGTGAAAGGGCCCAAATCATATAACCACATCTCTGTAATACACAGGGGTGCCGGAGTGATCTGAAAAGTGGTGGGGGGTCATATTTATATACCTTATCAGCATGGCTCATGAATATTAATTAGGTGACATATTCGCCTAGGCTGAAAAAATGGTAAGTGGACAGCAGTCATAGTTGTTTATGGTTCCTTTAGCCAATCAGAGCTGTCAAGACATAATTTTCGTGCGACTCCATAATGATTGGCAGAATTTAGACTGCATACTACTGTTACTATTTCTACCATATATTTCTATAGCATAGTAAGAGTAGTATGCTAGTACACAGTTCCAAATTCAGCTCTTATGTGCCCTTAAAGAGTTAGTTCACCCAAAACTTTAAATTAGTCCATGAATTACTCACCCTCGAGGCATCCTAGGTGTATATGACTTTCTTCTTTCAGATGAATCCAATCGGAGTTATATTAAAAAATATCTTTGATCTTCCAAGCTGTTTAATGGCAGTCAGCAGGTGTTGCAGTGCATCAGTCCAAAATAAGTGAAATAAAGTGCATCCATTCATAATAAAAAGTGTCTCACATGGCTCCGGGAGGTGAACAAAGACCTCCTGTAGTGAATCGATGCGTTTTTGTAAGAAAATTATATTATTCAAAACGTAATAATCACTTTAATCTAGCTTGCGTCAACAGTTGTACACGGAAGCAGCTCCGGGAGGATGACGTTTCATGGGCTAATTTTCATTTTTGGGTGAACTAACCCTTTAAAGTGGCGCCTGAAATATTGTAATTGCGAGTTCAGAGCACAGGAATTACTGAGCAAAGTCTCATTTACAAGCAGGAAGCTTAGGATTCTAGATTTGAGTCCATTTGAAACAATGTAGAAACACCAAACTGATCTCTCAGGAAAACGTAACTAATTTGCGAGGTGGTGATTTTGTATAAATTCGTATGATGTGAAAAACTTAAGCAGGAAGGTCCACCCCTAACCTCACCCCTAAAGCTAAATGACATAACCGAGTTTGGCGATTTTGCTAAATTTTACATTTCATTTACACGGTACATATTTCAATTCTTCCATCATTCCAAATTTAGACATAGTTATCTGGCAACTTCTGTTTTATGTCTCTGACTTGAATGCATGACTTAGAGGTATGATTTTCCCAGGTGCATTTGAATGCAGCATCAATCATATGCCATTTATGGCTCAGGTGATTGCCACAAAAATAATTGTCAGAATTATTGTAAATATGAGTTGGCAACTTCATAATTCCAACTGGGAACCAGAGATCATTTTAGAGATGGGATGACCTATAACCTTTCAACATGCAGAAGCAGAGAACCGTTTCAGTAGTAGCCTAAATGTTAGGTAATTATTAATTTCACAAAATACAGTTACATTTTTAGCATTTTGTGTTTTGTTTTTTTTTTTACATGGAGAAAAGCATATGTGTTACCAAGTAGTAGGTCCCACATACTCGATTCATTCTCAGCCTGCAAGATTTTTTTCTTCACACACCAGCTGCGACTTATATAATATAATGCTTATTTGCCAAAAACCAGCAAGTTGCTACACCTCTGGTAATACAATACATACTAGCAACTTTAACTGTGAAGGTTCTATATGGTTCTCACCACCACACCACTAAAATCTGCGTTGTCGTCGTCACAGAGGAAGAGCTCAGGACCTGCACAACAGGAAGGAGGGTAAAGGGCCCCGTTCTGCTTATAGTAGTAGGATTCAGAGAAGTCTGTGTAGTTACTGAAGCCACAGCACTGCAACTATTGCACAATGAAAAGCAAGAACAGTCAGTTGCATATAGTATTTTCACAAAAATTGCTTTGTACTGCTTTGTATATCTGCATATGTTTCCATGATATACAGTATGTGTATTGATCTGTAAAGTTCTTGAAGGATTTTTATTAGCCTGTCAAACTCTTGGCAGTCTGTTTAGTAAGCTCATTTTCACACTTACTGTCAACCACCCCATACTGGTTTGAAGGGCACTTTTAGCCAGAAAATTTGACATGATAGATTAATTTTATTTGACCTGTACAGAAAAGCCTGAGGCGCAGATCAATACTCATGTATGTATGTATTTGGTTGGCTGTGGCTTACTGTTGTCATGGTTGAGTTCCACAAGTCTGTGAGGATTTTATCTTTCCCATACTGCTCCTTCAGTCCAGGTGTGGCCCCTGCTCTTAGAATGATCTCTTTTAAAATCACAGATAAAGATAATCAGGGACTCATGAAAAGTCAGAAAGGAATGGAAACTAGCAGATGAAAAATCTTCCACAAACATACACTTTTTAACATTTTTGACATTTATCATAGCTAAATGAAACAAAGGCTAGGCAGTAAAGTAATTTCTCTGCAACTCAATTCTTACTAGTCAATCGTAAGTATATTTCCTCATATATTGATACTCGTGGATATCAAAGATTTGCATTTATTTGTCAATTAATTTGAAAAACATTCTAAAGTTGCATTCACATTATTTAATTTAATTTTCTGGTAACACTTTACAATAAGTTTTTATTTGTTAGCATTAGTAACTAAATTAGTTATGAACTAACAATGAACCATACTTCTAAAGAATTTATTCATCTTAGCTGATGTTATTTCAACCATAACTAATAAATTTTTTTTTTTAATCAAAAGTCGTATC